CACTGGCCTAGCCCCTGTCCAGCTCCTTGCCCACCTCACAGTCCCCTTCCTGCCTGGGACCTGGTGTCCTTGTCCCCAAGGCCTAGGACCACCATTCCAATAGATCAGTTTCTATAGCTGCAGAAGGAACAAGAAAAAAACCTGGCAAGTTCAAAGCCTACTCTGTGGCACTGACGGGTGGTAGGGGGACCCAGAGGGAAAACGGGCTAGGGTGGGGAGGTGGGGGGAGAGGGAAGGACAAACATCAAAGGTGCAGCCCTTTCAGGCCCTGACACAGGCCTGAGCCTCCTCTCCCTCCCTCCCTTCCTTACAGGGGAGTCAGGGAAGTAGATTGTACCAGGTGGCCACTGCTGGCCCAGGTCAAGCTGGGCAGGGGTGGGTCTATAGACTAGGGCAGGGAAGGAGCCCAAGGCAGCTTTCCCCCAGGCTGAGCTTGGCCACTCCTGGTGCAGTCATCAGAGACCAGGGTGCTCAGGGCTTGGTCATGGCAGGCCAGCCTGTGAAAGGCCACCAGCACATCTGTGGTGGAGCCCTGGTGGGCCCTGCTAGGTGATGTGGCTGCCCATTATCTTGCTCTGAGAGGACCCGTGCCCACCTCCTGCCCCTCCCCCAGCCTGGGGACAGACAAGGGATGTTCCCCCGGGATGTCTCCCCGAGGGGCAGCACATCAGACGACATCAGGACAGGAGAAAGCCAGGGAGGACCTGCCATGATGAAAGTCATGGGTCCCTCCCTGCTCAGAGCACAGTGTTTATGAAGCAAAACTAGGCAGCTAAGGAGGAGCTTCCTAGAAGCAGGAGGGGAGCGAACCTGGGCAGGGAAGGGGCAGATTAGAGAAGAAATCGCTTCTCCCCATCAAGCCTTTACCAGACACCACGCAGAGGGCAGGCTTCAGTGCATCATCTCATCTAATTCTTGCCCAAGCTCGGTGAGGAGTCACACAAGCTGGCAAAGCGGCACACTGAAATTCAAACCCAGGTGGTCTGATTCTAGGGATGGCAGAGGTGGGAGGGGGTACCCTTTTTGCTCTTTCCACTCCCTCCCACCGTAACAGCATGGCCTCCTGGGCCCCCTCCTCAGCCCGTTCCTGGAGTGGTAGCAGGTAACGTGCTGGGCAAGTGGCAGTTCTTTGCAGCCCAGCTGCTGCACCCCATCTGCTAGTAAGGCCAGCTGGGGGCAGGGGCGACTGGCCCTGCCAGCCTCCAACCCCTTCCCTGCAGGCCTGACCTGCCAGGTGACAGGCTGGGAGATTGTGGGGCCAGGAAGGGAACTCCTAGTGTTGGTAGGGAGGAGGGTGGGCCTGGGAACTCCAGAGGACACAGAACACTGGGCTCCCCTTGCCAGGCAGGCATTTCCTAGCTGCCCATCTGCCACACTTGTGCTGCAACCAGAAGGCCCAGCCTCTCATGTGAGTCCTGACTTGGTCTGTTTCTCCACCTGTAATCTGAACTGACAACGCCTACCCTGTCAAGGTTCCTGGGACAGCCAAGATGATGGGATGGCTAAGATGATCGTTGCTCTGTCCATGAGCATGTGCACAGTGTCAGGCACGCACTGCTCTCAGCTGATCTCAGAACACCCTGGAGGCAGAGATGCTCATCTCATCTCACGGATGGTAACATAGGCCCAGAGAGGTTAAATGACATGCCAAAAGGCCCACAGGTGGTGGGTGGTAGAGCCTGATTTGAACCTGGGCAACTGACTCAAATTCCACTCTTAACAGTTAGTCACTTCCCTCCCAGAGATGAAAGCAGTTGTAGATCACTCCACAAACAAAAGGCACATTACTAATTAGGGGGTCATCGATAATTGCTATTTATTAATTGGAGCTATAAAAAAATAAAATAAAAAGTAGACAGGAGGAAAAGACCCGCCAGGCAGAGTCCCTATGAGATTAAAGCTTAGTCAACGAGGCTGGGAAAGGGTCCCCATGGTGAGGGTTGGGAGGCTGAGGCTACCTCTAGCAAAGGGCACAAAGGGCCCAGGAGGAGGTCTTCTTGGGCAGGGAAGTGAGAGGAGCCAGCCAGCTGGCTCACCCTCCACCTTGAGACTCCCATTCCTTCTGTCACGGCCCTTAACGAAGGAGGAATGGACCCCATGTGACCACAGATCCAAGGGCAGGTAGGGGACCCAGGCTAGGCCAGTGAGTGGCCCTGCTCTCCCCAAATCGCACTATAAGAGGTATCATTTCACTGAATGACACACCAAAGCCTGCAGTCACCTCCTGCAGAAAACCCACCATGGAATGTGCAGAGATCCCTCTCTGAAGGAAGACTAATGTTGAATCCAGGTGATTACTGACAGGAGAGGTAGGCACCATTTCCCTGCCCAGGTCAGGGTGCTGTGTGGAATGCTCTTTGGGCACCAGCTCATTAACACTCCGAAATACCCATGCTTATACCCACTTCATGGATGGGAAAACTGAGGTGGAGGCTCAGTGCCTCCCAAGGTGTAAGATGGGGCTTGAACCCAGGTGATCTTGCTGGGGGACAGGAACAATCCTCAGAGGGATGGTGACTCCAGGGGACCCCTGGTTCCTAGTGGGCATCCTGAGATGGGGCATCAGCTGAGGAAGCCCCAACAAGCCAGGTGTCTACACGCTGGTCTCCACTGACAGAGCCAAGATTCAGAACATGTGCCCAGACTGCAGCTGGGCCAGAACATCACACTATGGAGAGAAAGCCCTTCCTGCTCCCACACCCGTCCACTCCATCTCCCCCAGCTTATCAGGGTGGCCTGTTGCACTGCTCTTGGAAAGGCCTTGACACACCCTCTGTCTACACATCCCCTCCCCCAACAGCACCGGATCTAAAGTCGCCAACTCTTTGTACATAAAGATGCTGAGATTAAGAGGGAAACCTTCAGCCTGGCCAAGAACTCTTCCCATCAGTTACCTGTCCACTGCCTCCTGACTCAGATGATGCAACAGAGAGAGGTCCAGCAGAGGCTGGGATGGCTGTGGACCCTGGCAGCCAGTATGAAGCCAGGGGTAGCGGTTCCACTGAGGCCCTGTGGAGTATACTGTAAAGCAAATATATTTTCACAGGGCCTAGTTTCTTGTACTTTCAGGTTTATATGTACTTCTTAAAAGTACATATAAAATGTTGACCTTGCAAAAACCAGGAACTTTCCCCAGGCTATAGTCTCTGTAGTAAGATAAAGAATTGTAACACAGCAAGGTTGCTGGTTCAAAGACAGACCAAGTTACTGACTGATATGTAAAGATACTGGAAGAATGCTGTGGGAGAAGGAATGTTTGCTAAGACCAAGCTTTTATTGGTGGATCACTTAAATTGCCTTATGGAATGTCACTTTGCTTGTTTTACTGAATGTTACCAGCCTATATTGTTAAACTATAACCCCACCTATGTTCTCTTCCTGTAACTTCCTGGTCTGGAGAATAAATGCAGGAAGAGAACCCCAATTTGTGGTTAATTTCCCAAATGAAAGGAATGCCTCTCTCACGGGTTCTGGGAGATTAACCACTTCAGGGCTTCTCACTGCTCAGAAGAGATGGGCTTTGAGTAATCCTTTGCGGCTCCATCACCCAGGGGAAAAGGGGTGACAAATCTGTGGGAGGCAAAGCAACAAGGCCCAATAAGAGAAGTCACATGAGGGGACTGGACCTTCAGAGGGCTCCCAGGAGTAAGAGGCTACACGTCAAAAGTCTGGGCTACTGAATAAGCAAGCTGACAAAGTCCTTGCTTTTCTGGGGAAGCCAGCAGGGCTGGCACCTCTTTTGCCTACTTCTTCCCCCCTTCTCCCTCCCTTTGAGTTCTGACCTTTGATTGAACCCAGGACCCTGGAAGCTTTGTAAATGAGAAACTTATGTTCTTATTTTGTTGGTAGTAGTTAGCTATGAATCTTCAAACACGTGGCAGCTGAAAATGTTTTGTTCTATAAATAGCTTGGTAGCAGATATAACTGATTTAATCAATACAATTTGTTATTTTCACTGGCTTATAAAAAGGAACCTAAAATAAACTAAGAGGCTTTGCAGGTCAGCAGCCTGCAAAAGTCCTTCTGATTCTATAAAATAGATCGTGTCCTTCTCCATTTCTCACCATCTCCCCTCGGGGTACTGGTCGACAACACAAAAGTAACAATAACTACCCTTACAGCTCAGGAAACATCTACCGAGTGAGAGTGCTAAAAGTTGGTGAGGCGCTACACACCTCCCAAACCGTTATTCTTCCACCTTAAACGGGAGGAAACTGGGCCTTGATAAGGTTACCTGCCCAAAGCCGCAGTCAGCACCGGAGCAAGCATCTGAGCCCAGAACTGCTCGATGTATGGCCAGGCAGCAGCATCTTCACATTCTGCCCACTATCAATAACCCTCAAATCGCAGCCCCAACAACTGCATAGCCTTTTGGCGTCCAGGGCCACCCACCGGCTCGGGTCACGCCCAGCAAGGACCCAGCTGAGGCTGTCCCTCTCCCTCGCTCTAGTGTAACTGCAGTTTGGGGCCACGCAGAACCGTGCCCAACGCCCAAGCTGGAGCGCCTTGGCTGCTGATGGAAGGAGCGGCCAGCCAGAAAAGTCGAATCTACAGGCCCTCCCGGAGTGCGTGTCCCCAGGCAGGCTCCTGGGGCGCCACCACCAACCTCGGCCGGGCCGGCTCTCCCGTTCCAGCAAGTTGGCCCGGCCGACGCCCGAAGCCCGACAGCCGCGTCCCGGGGCCCTCACAGACCACACAGCCTTTACGACTCCGCTCCAACAACCCTGACACCCTAACCTGGGCGTGGAATGAGGGATGTTCCCCATTACTGTGGCCAGAAAACCCAAAATTAAAAACCTCCTCCACGGCCCCGACGCGCACCATCCCCTCACCCTCCCCGGGACACAACGCACTCCCGGCCTCGCCCCGGCCGCACCCAAGATGGCGCTTCCCGGTCCCTCCCGCGCTCGGCCCCTGCCCCACTCCCACCACCTCGACCACCTCGCGACAGGTAGAGCCCGCGCCCCAGCTCGCAGCCACCCGCCTTCGGACCCCTCAAAATGGCGGCGGCCGAGCGGGCCGGGGCGGGGCCGCGGGCGC